TTTTCTTGTCTTGCTCAGGCTGACCACAAACTCCTGTGCTCAAGTGAGCCCCCAGCCGCAGCCCCCCAAGTGTCTGAGACTTCAGGTGTGAGCCTCCAGACCTCCTGCCTGGAGGAGGTATTTTTGTATTTGTTTCAGGCCTCTGATTCCATTCTGTGTTCATTGATCATTGTAAGTTGACCAAAAAAACACATGTTTAGTTTTATATATTAAGTGATAGTGCCCATATTTAATATAGGAGCAATATGTAATTTTTTTTTTTTTTTGTTTGTTTTTTTTTTCCCCCGTACCAGGAATCGAACTCATGACCCCACACTTGCCAGGCAGGTGCTGTGCCCCTGAGCGAAATCCCCAGCCCCAGGAGCAATATTTAATTAATAGGTTAAACTTTTACAGATTAATTTACTAATTTACTCAAAATCTTAATGTAGGATAATTTCATCAATTTAATTGAAATGAAGCAAGTAGCAGAAGTTATTTTATTTTGCTTTGTTTTATATTTTTTAGTTTTTTGAGACAAGATCTCACTACGTAGTTCAGGCTGGTCTGGAACTCACTAGGTAGCCCAGGCTGGTCTTGAACTCATGGTGATCCTCCTGCCTCAGCTTCGCAAGTGCTGGGAAGCATAAGTGATTTCAATTTATAAAATTGACTATATTTCTTTTTTTAAAACTTTCTGTTTTTTGTTTCTTTAGGCTTTTTAAAAATTAATTAAGTTTATTGGTACATTTTAGTTACACACAACGATCATATTCATCGTAGGGAACCTGTACCTGTACATGATGTACCTTAATTCTTTTATTCCTGTTTCCCTCCCCTCCCTTCAACTCCTCTTCGCTTCCTTATTTACAAAAAAGCTTTGTTTGCATTTTTTCCTTCTTTTCTCATTTTTTTTTTCTTTCCCCTTCATTTCTACCTCCCCACTCCCTGGTTCCCCTTCCCATTTGAACATTTTCTTCCTATTTCACAATATCCACTACACATTTTTGTCCTTATTTATACTTTT